AACGAGACTGATATAAACAAATGGAGGAGGAGCAGGGGGAGCAACAGCAGGAGTATGCTGGAAGAGGAATAGACGACGACGACGGCGACGACGACGACGACGACGGTGGACGAGGGCAAAGACGACGATGACGACGACGGCAGGAGTTAACAGTGAAGACCGTCGCGGATCTGTTGCTCTAGGAGCCCGTTGGAAGCCCCCTTGGGGCCGTCTTGGAGCCCTCTTGGGGGCCATTTTGGGAGCTTTCGGAACCCCCCTGGTCCCTCTGGGCGTCCTTTTCGGGCCTTCGTGGCCCACGTGGGGCCATCTTGTAGTAAGTGGTCAAAGAACGTGGGGGCCTTCATTAGCTTTGCCCCGTCAGAGAACGAAGTCCTCTTGTGGTGCTCTCGGGGCGCTGTTGGGGCCGTGCTTGGCCTCCTGTGGGCTCCCTTGCGGCTCACTTGAGCGATCTTGGGGTCATTTTGATGCCTCGATGGCCAATCTGGAGCAGGCGAGCAGCCCCAACACACTGAAGTTCATCATGCGTTTTTGATTCTTTTTGGGGGCACCCTGGGTGTTCCTTTGGGGCGCCACGTGGCCACTTGGAACCGTCCAGAATTCTTCTTGTGGTCTCTTTCAGGCAGCTTCGAGGACCTTTGGAGCTATCTTGGGCAATCTTGCGCTGTCCTGGGCCCCCCCACCTCTCTGAGCCAGATGTGGATGTTTTGCAGCCATCTTGGCCGAGCAGCCTCCCAATCATGCCCCTTCCCCCCGAAATGCCAATATCTTTCAAACACAGTTTTTGCTCTGAGCGAAGTGGGCTGCGCCGATTCGTTTCGTCCCCCTTCAGTCATACACATCGCCACGTGAGGCCCTCTGAGGACGCTCTTGGAGCGCTTTTGGTCGCTCACGGGGCCCTTTTGCAGCTTTCATGTGTCCTTCCTGTCCTTCCTGGTTTTTAACCTAACAGCGAAGACTGATAGGCTTCTAGTGGTCTCAAAAGAGAGCATCATGACTCCCCAGGGGGGTCTGGGCAGATGCCGGACGGGTGCCGCGGGAATCCGGGGACTGCCGCGGGAATCCGGTGACTCCTTTTTTAGCCAACAGTAACGCACTTCGTGGTCTTCGAGTTCCCAGAACTCCATTCCTGGGCATGATTTTGAATGCCCAGAGCCAGCTGTAGGCCACTTCGTGTTCTTCGAGTTCCCAGAACTCCTTTCCTGGGCATGATTTTGAATGCCCGGAGCCAACTGTAGGCCACTTCGTGTTCTTCGAGTTCCCAGAACTCCATTCCCAGGCCACATTTTGAATGCTGAGGCAGGCTAATGCTGAGGCTGGCAGGCTGAGGCATGAGGCTGAGCAGGCTGAGGCTGAGGCGAGGCTTGAACTCTGAAGGCAGGCTGAGTGAGGCTGAGGCTGAGGGACTGAGGATGAGGCAGGCTGAGGCTGAGGCAGGCTGAGGCTGAGGCTGAGGCTGAGGCAGGCTGATGCTGAGGCAGGCTGAGGCTGAGGCTGAGGCTGACTGAGGCAGGAGGCTGAGGCTGAGGCAGGCTGATGCTGAGGCAGGCTGAGGCTGAGGCTGAGGCTGAGGCGGATGCAGGCTGAGGCTGAGGCAGGCTGAGGCTGAGGCTGAGGCTGAAGGCTGACTGAGGCTGAGGCTGAAGCTGAGGCTGAGGCTGAGGCAGGCTGAGGCTGAGGACTGAGGCAGGCTGAGGATGCTGAGGCTGAGGCTGCAGGCTGAGGCTGAGAGCAGGCTGAGGCTGAAGGCTGAGATGAGGCAGGCTGAGCCTGAGGGCTTGAGGCCTGAGGCAGGCTGAGGCTGATGCAGGATGAGGCTGGGGCTGAGGCTGATGCAGGCTGAGGCTGAGGCAGGCCGAGGCTGAGGGCCGAGGGCGAGCGGCAGACTGTTGAGGCTGAGGCTGAGGCAGGCTGAGGCTGAGGCTGAGGCAGGCTGAGGCTGAGGCGGAGGCCGAGGCCGGCTGAGGCTGAGGCTGAGGCTGAGGCAAGCCGATGCAGGCTGAGGCTGAGGCTGAAGCTGAGGCAGGCTGAGGCTGAGGCTGAGGCTGTGGCTGAGGCTGAGGCCAGCTGCGGCTGAGGCAGGCTGAGGCTGAGGCTGATGCAGGCTGAGGCTGAGGCAGGCTGAGCTGAGGCTGAGGCATGCTGAGGCTGAGGCTGAGGCTGAAGCTGAGGCAGGCTGAGGCTGAGGCTGAGGCCGAGGCAGGCTGAGGCTGAGGCTGAGGCTGAGGCAAGCCAATGCAGGCTGAGGCTGAGGCTGAAGCTGAGGCAGGCTGATGCTGAGGCAGGCTAAGGCTGAGGCTGAGGCTGATGCAGGCTGACGCTGAAGCACGCTGGGGATGAGGCCGAGGCTGAAGGCAGACTGAGGCTGAAGCTGAAGCAGGCTGAGGCTGAGGCTGAGGCAGGCTCAGGCTGAGGCTGAGGCAGGTGAGGCAGGCTGAGGCTGAGGTTGAGGCTGATGCAGGCTGAGGGTGAGGCAGGCTGAGGCTGAGGCCGAGGCTGAAAGCATAAGGAGGCAGGCTGCAACCTCCTCAGCTGAGGCTTGAGGGTGATGCGCCTGATGCAGGCTGAGGTGAGGCAGGCTGAGGCTGAAGCAGGCGAGGCTGATGCATGAAGGCTAGGGGCTGAGGCTGATGCAGGGCTGAGCAGGCTGAGGATGATGCAGGCGGAGCTGAGGCTGAGGCTGATTGATGCTAGGCTGAGGTTTGTTTTGTTTGTGTTTTTTTTTCTTGTGAGGCAGGATGAGGCGAGGCCGAGGACGGACGGACAGGCTGAGGCTGAGGCTGAAGCAGGTGAGGCTGGGCCGAGGCAGGCTGAGGCTGAGGCTGTGAGGAAGGGCTGATGCTTGAGGCAGGCTTGAGGACAGAGGCTGAGGTGATCAGGCTGAGGACTGAGGCAGGCTGAGGCTGAGGCCGAGGCTGAAGGCAGAATGATGCTGAGGCTGAGGCAGGCTGAGGCTGAGGCTGAGGCAGGCTGAGGCTGAGGCAGGCTGAGGCTGAGGCAGGCTGAGGCTGAGTCTGTGACTGCGACTGCCGTTGCCACTGCGACTGTCATCGCGAATGCGACTACGACTGCGAGAACAGCAGAATTCGACAACTGGATTCTCATCTGAATCTTAAGGGGAATGCTTCCAGATATGCTCCTACACATCGCTGTTAGGTTGCTTTGCCGGGATAATTTTTGTGCCGTCTTGTGGCCGTCTTTAAGACTCGGATGCCCAGCGGAAGCGAAAAGGCGAGTATGCACACATCGTTGATGCATCATAAGTCCTGGGATTATATTGGCTCCTGGGGTCCTCCGGAGGCTCCGTGGCCACACCTGAAGCGGTGATGGAGAGGTGTCATGCTGGAGGCTATCTTGAGACTTGATTTCTCCTGTGCAATCTCGGAGGCCGTATTGGGTTATCCGGGGCATTTTGGGCCACCCTGACACCTTCCCGCCGCCCCCCTTCAGACCCAGGGGGGTGGGATGGGGAGGGTTCGGGCACGCAGCAAGCTGTCTTGCTTACTCCCACCCGTTCGCTTATTGAATTCGTGATGCTCGAGTCTCAGCATCGGCACGGGCCGCCATGGACAGCCGTCGGGAACCAATGCAGGCGTCTCCCAGATGCGCAAGGTCCGCGAGGGGCGTCGCGCGTGCCAGGTGCGCCACGCGCACTAGGTGCGCCAGGTGCCTCATGGGCCCAAGCGTTACATGCGCGCCCAGTGCGCCAGATTTACAGAAACCAGTGTGAAGCGACCGCGTGATCGCCAGCGTCGCGTGTTGTGTACCTGTAATCACGTCGTTTTGGGCCTAGGCCTGCGCACGGCAGGCAATCTGATGCCTTCGCCCTGTTTTTGTTGGGCACTGTCCTACTCCTTTTCCAATTCGGTGTCTGATGTAGTTTTCACATGTATTGAATTGTCATGTATATGCGCAGAGGTATTTATTATATATATATATATATATATCTATGTACACAATTGTCTGCTTCACACATATATACATATACACATGTGTCTATATGGATTTATCAGATATAAAATTACCCCAGTGCGACCCTACCTAGAAGTTGGAGCCCCTAGGAAAGCAGCATTAGTTGCTATGCTATGCTATGCTGTGCTGTGCTGCGCTATGCTATGCTATGCTGCGCTATGCTATGCTATGCTGGGCTATACTATGATATGCTATGCTGCGCTATGCTATGCTACGCTATGCTATGCTGTGCTGTGCTCTGCTATGCTAAAGCTCAGCGAAGCTAAGATGAAGGCAAGCTAAGCTAAGATAAACCTGAGGTAAGATGAAGCTAAGCTAAGCTAAGATGAAATCAGCTAAGCTAAGATGAGATACGCAACGCTAAGCTAAGGGGACGTAACTGTGGGAACCGCGGGGCGGATACTCGGGGAACCGCCCGGGGCGCTTTCCACTGCCCGGCCCCTTTAAGCTCAGAGAGTAAGAACCCTTCTAGGCAGAGCCTAGGTAGGGCACGTACATGTATCTACACATTTGTACGTATGTATGCATATGTATATACACATACATATGCATATACATATATATATACATACATATGTATATATATGTACACATATATATATATATATATATATGTAAAGTGCTTGATGCATATATGTGTACATGTTTTTGTGTTTGTTTTGTTTTTGTTTGTGTGTTATGGTTTTCTTCTATTACTATTTCAGGTCTAGGATCTGCCCATGGCCCACCTGCACGTTTTCTTTCCGTTCTCATTGTGTTATCAACATTTTGTTTTGACATCACGATGCCGCCTGCCTGACGCCCGCTTTCGGGGGTGCCGATTTTACAGCAGTGTGATCGAGTCAAGAGCTTACAGTGGAAAACGTACCAAACTCTCCCAGCGTTTTTTAGAGCAAGTAACCCGCCGTCGGTGTAACAACAATTCAATGTGATCGTGGGGCGCCCAGATATGAGGTTGATTTAGCAGCGCAACAGTTTGCATGTTTTTTTGATCTGGATGATGGCGTTGATGGCTATTTCGAATCCGTGAGGAGCGCTCCTTGAGGTTCTCGGGCTTCAACGGGAAGTTCAACGAGCTGTTCGGCGACCCTGCGCCGATGTCGATGAAGACGCTGTGCGTGGAGTACACGCTTCACAGCAACGGGATGGACGTGTCGCGGGGTAGCTGGGTAAACGAAATTTGCGGAGACCCTAAGGGCTGGGCTTGTCGATGATCCAAAAGCGTAGGATACCCCAATGAAGGTTGACCTCGTTAAGCTCCGCCGGTGCTGTCGGGTCGCTTGGAGGTCTTCGGCGCACCGCGCTGAACATACCGGGCTGTGTCTGTGGACAAACATGCTCTGTAGCAGCAGTGCAAATGTTCCAGATCATCGAGCTTGGGAGGAGCTGGTGGCTGATACTCGCCAGGTTGCTCTCCTGGGTGTCCCCGACCCTTTTTGTTGTCCCTGGGCTTCTGGCCACCTGAGGCAACTACGCGGAGGGTGTCTTCGACAAGATCGGGCTGCTGCCTGGTGTTGTTTTCAAGACCGTGTCCAACACCGTGGGTATCGTCGCGGCCACTGGCGGCCTCGCCGTCGGCAAGGCGGTCAAGGAAGCTAGACAGCTCACAGGCGACCAGTCCGCAGAAGTAGCTGACAACGCAGTCTTCCAGATGGGATGGACGACCTGGCTTCGGTGCAACGGTATCTTTCCCTCTGTGCACTGCGCTTAGCTTTTTCCATCCCTCGTCCAGCCTGCGGCAATCTCGCCTGAATTGCGGCAATCTCGCCTCGATTGATCGTGGTATCCCCAGGGAGGGGCTTGCGGTCGATTGAAGGGGAGGGATCACATTCCGCTGCAGGGTAGAAGCGCACAAAGGTCGTACGAGGAGTGCGCCTCCACAGACAAGCCTGCGGAGGATATGAGACAGACCCCCCTGCTGGTCAGCAACCACATGTGCTACATCGAGACATTTGCTTTGCCTGCTATCTTTAATGCGCCGAAGGTGCTCGGAATGAAGGGCATCTGCAAGACACCATTCATAGGTATGTTCGCCAAAGAGATCGGCCTGATTGAGGTCGACCGTGACGACAAGGCTCCCAGCTGTAACCCTCTTGGTCGGCCCAAACATGCGATCTACAACTATGCGCCAGTTTTGTATGCTCTTAGAGAGGCTGGTTGGTAGGTGTCGCTGCAGTGCGTTCCTGCGCCAGCAAAAGCAGGCGACAGTCAAAGCTATACCCAATGCGTCTTGGACGTATCGGCGCCAGAGACGTGGAGACCCCCAGTTGGTATTCCTTGCGTTGCCCAAGGCGCCTAAAAGCGTTGCGATCTGGTACTGAAGGGACGGGTGTGAGCGTCTGTGTGAGTGTGTGTTTGGTGAGATTCGTTTTGAACGTGAGCAGTGTGATCAGCGTGGTTCGCCCTGATTGACCCCGCACTTCTTCTAATCGGGATTCGCGCTAATCCCTGCTGTCCTGATTGAGTTGGCGAGGAAACAACGTATCTAAGGGGGATAGGGTGTCACACTTCGGATTGAAGTTGTCTTGTCTGTGCGCAGGGGCCTTCCCATGGTGCCTCTCCAAGCCCAAGGCTTCCAAGGAACTTTGCCGCGAGCCGAGGAACGTCGGTGGTGCCGCCATTTCTCTAAATCGCAATATTTTGGATATTGAATCAGTCATCGGCCTTGCTAATTCCTTTGTGCTAACCCAGCCCGTTCTGATTCATTCAACTGAATCCGTCTTGGTCCGACTGTATCAGGTTTCATCTGGCCTAGTAGGGCTTGCACAGCCAGGTTCAGTCCAGCTTAACAGCTCCTAGCCGTGCCCACAAAGACTCCCCAAGGAGCTGCCACCCTCTGCTGTCCGCCGCTTCGCATGGCCATCTCGTCCGGCGTTTTGTCCTTGATTGCGGGTCTGGTTGCGTTGAAACACGGCTGGCTGCCAGCACACCTAAGCGAAGGGTGGAGATTCAGGCCAGCAGCCTTGGTCTGGGATTGGTCGGACGGGGGGCGGATGCGCCGGCCGGGTCGCAGCAAGGCCGTCGGCGGTCGACGCAGCCCACGAACTCCTGCCCCACAGCCTTCTCCACCCGTTCCTCTCCTCCCTGCTCCGTCCTCCCCATCCTCTCCCTCCTCACCTTGATCTCCTCATTTTCTTTCTCCTCTCACTCCTCCCTCCTCTGGTCTGCACGCCGTCTTAGCGTCTTGCACCCCCCCTCCGACACTGATCCGATCATGGGACTGTTTTGCGGACATCAGAGTCCTGAGTCCTGAGTCCTCCCTTTCCTTCTATGGGCTTCCG